TTAAATAAAACAAATATTAAATGTGAATTAAATTATTAATGAAATACATTAGTACAGGTATAAATGATACAGGTTTATTAGCACAGTATAAGTGAAAAAGGTTTATTAACTACTGTACTTACAAAGAATGTTGCAGTAGTACCACTTACAAAGTGGCAAATTTTAGAATTTTACTGGAATTGTAGAGCTAATCACAAAGGTCTGGAAGTTGAGGGCTGTCAGGATTACTGTCTATTTCATAGTTGACTGTTTCATCATGGATTTATGGTGTTGCAGGGGGAACACTTGAAGTTGAAGCCACAGAATTATCAGATGTAGGCCTACTGCTCTGACACACATTCTTCTTGAATATATTTTTAAACCTTTCATCCACGCAATGTTGTTTTATGTTCTTTGATATTTCCCTGTGTAATTTTTCATACAGCAAATGAATAGTCATTAGCTCTTGTTCTGTCATGAAGGTATATTGCTCTAGCCCACTGATTAATTCACCCGTCAACTCAATTAAAGAGTGACATACCTACTTAAAATGTAAGTAGCCCGTCCCAAAAGAGCGAGCACCACACGCAATGCCATCTGTGGCTGCCCAGTGAACCTGTCTGGTGGTCACGGGAATTTCAAGTGTGATCTAGTAATTTTTTCTGGATTAAAGGAGGTGCCAGACCATCAGTTGCCAGAAAATCAGTGGTATACTGTATATGAATTTCATTAAATTTTCACACAAGTCAAATCTTAAGTTACATATAGCTAATGATCTATCTACTACAATGCATTAAATGATTCTTAAAAATGTCAATATTTTTTGTGTTTCCTTACAAATTCATTACAAGTTTGGAAAAAAACTGTAAACTGTACAAATGACATTTTCTGCTTTTATAACTTTGAAAGGCTTCACAAATAAAAATTGGTTTCATGTGTGTACATAACTTTACTAGAACCCTATTCTTAACAAAAAATAATAATTTCTTTATGTCAGTTATTTTTAATGTATAATATTTTTAAGGAAAAAAATCTTGATTTTTGCATTCAACAAACTTTATTATGATCTCCTGAAATCAATCATGATTTCTAACATCAATATTTGCTTTTAATTGTACATTAATTTTATTTTTTATCAACTTAATTTATTAGATAAAAAAAAACCTACTTGTTTAATAAGTGGTGAATTTTCTTTTTCCAAAAATGCAGTAAGAAGTGATGGCACATTTTTAGAAATGTCACTGCATTTCAATGTCACATTTGTCAGGGATGATAGAATACACAACTTTGTTTCATCACTGCATACAGGTAACTGTAAAAGTTGGCACAATTTTTCTTGAAGTTTACTTGTTGTGACATCTTTAAGTTCACACCAACACTCAGCAAGTGTCTGTAAGGTAAAGATGTATTTCATACAACACCTAATATTCACATGTGATATGCTGAAGTTGCAACTTTTCTATGTTAAAATAGATTATGTTGATAACAAAGGTTTTAAACTTCTACTAGAGTATATTTTTTAATAATTATTTAAAAAATTACCAGTTTCACATGTGCACATAACTTTGCTTCAACTATATTCTTAACAAGAAAATAATCTATCTTTTTACATCAGTTATGTTTAGTGGATAATATGATTTTATTAACATGTTGTCATATGAAGTACACGTTATTTCCAATAATATTTTAAAAGAAAAAATATTTAGTTTGGGAAAATAAGCCAAGAGTCACTAATTTTTCATTTTTAGAATTAAAATGAATTTCTTAAATATTATAAGCCTTTCTTTTTTTTTGTTAAGTTGTTCACTCTCTGTTAACAACCCCATGATTTTTTATTTTGAATGTTTTTGATGCAAAGCATTATATGCATGACCTAACCCAAAGTTCTCCACTCTTCCTCCACCTACAAGTGATTTACTCCATAAACGTCAGGGGCACTACATAAGCTACACTTTCCCACCAAAAGTTGGATTTTTTTGTAACATAATAACACATTTCTCCTAGTTGTGAGGAGGTGGGTAAAAATATATTTCAGAGGTAAATATCTGATTGAAATGTATTCTGATTCTAAAAATGTAAATTGAAATCATGTAGACTTACCTCTGAAATACTCTAAGCCAAAATAGCCACACATTGAGTTGTGTGAACAAGTACAGCTTAAGTAAAATCCCTAACCATATCAATAGGCATCAGACTGGGTTTGTCTTAAAGAACAGAGTAGAAAGGACCTTGAAGACCAGAAAAGGAAAAGCATTATTCTCAGCAGAGTACCTCTTGGCCCTAGATGCCCTATAATTAAAATATAAAAAGGAGCTGGGCAGTATAAAAATATCTGGGTAGCTATGAACATTTATAGGTGTGGTTTCAGGTGGTGGCTAAACCTGTAACAAGAGTCACAGCAAAGATGTTTGTCCAGTACCTGTTAGTGGAATATTCTCAAAGGAGAAGATCAGTAAATAGGTAGAGACTGGACATACTAATGGGGATAAAATCCCTGATATCTGACAATGAAATAACTAGTAAAGTCATAAAACTGGCCTAGTCAGCAGGCACTAAGAGAAAATCAAAAAGTCAGGTGGTCCTGAGAATGGGCTCAACAATTTGAAGACAGTGCAATGGGAACACTTGGTAAGAAAGTAAAATAAGATGAAAATGAAGTTTTATGGTATATCCAACTTGGTTGGAGTTATAAGACATTAACTGGGGAATGTATGCCACATGTCCAATTCTCTTATATGTAAACAAGATGGTACTATAGAATAAGTTTGTCCCAAGTTTCATGCAATTTGGTTAAGTATCACCTCTGTGAAAAGAAGAAGAAAAAAAACTGGGGATATTAATGACATTTCTCTAGTCTGAAAAGTTTTAATACAATCCCCAAAACCCCAGGATTTGGGAGTCACATTAACATATGGAATCCTGAAATTGGGATTCCTGGTATTGCAACCCCTAGTGTGGATCCATGTTGAAATTAAGCAGGCAACTGAGAACACATCTGCTAAGGATTTAATCTGGATAGAAGAATCACAAGTGTAGACAAACAGAATCTCAAAGCTGAGAAAGATAGCAATGTGTTGCAAATAAAATATGATGAATGTATTATCCACATGTTCGTCTGCATAATATCATCTAAAGGGGACCATGACAAAGACATCAAAGACAACACCCAATGGCAAATTGGATTAGATGTAACTGAAAATACACTTCTAAGGTGTTCACAAACATAACAATAAACAAAATAGATCAAATGCAAAAGCTAGTTTATTAACATAGCAGAAACAACGTCCAAGCAGCATGATTTGTTTTATCATATAAATAACCTTTTCCAAGACCTTCTGAAACAATCAATATCAATACAGGATTGGACATTAAAAAAATTTTCCTCAAAATGAGACTCAGAAGCAGACAGGGAAAGCAGCATAATAGCTGCAAAACCATTACTTTTTCTCACAGCCCAAGTTTATGTAGGAAAAATCAATCTGGATACGAGTTTAAAGCATTAAAAAAAAAGAATAATTAGCATTAAGAGCATAATAAGATCTTTTGCCTAATGCCAACACTAAAGAAAAAGATGATACAACAACTAAGTGACTAAGGATTCAAAAACTGGGATAAGCCAAGAAATGTAAGACTTCACCCAACCCCCATTTTGGACAAATTCTAGAAACATAAATGTTGAAAACAAAAGGCTCAGAAAAGACTGTGAACAATGGTGATAAAACTGAAGACATGTATAAGAATCCCCCCCCCCAAAAAAAAGATATGAAGGTAAGGAATTTAAGAAGCAAGATAAAGTACAGGAAGATGACTCTGTTGAAAGGATATTAATAATTAACTGATTCCTGAAAACATCAGCAATGATCCAAAAATCAGTAGATGGTGGAAGATATAAAGATTCAAGGACTGAGTCATACAGCATGATGTTAGTACCCTGAGGCATAACAGAAATGAGTTCAAGATTTAAAAGAGAACACACCTGACAAAAAATAAAATAAAAATCAAACCAGCAAAAGCTTCTCAAGATTAAAGTTAGATGACAAAACCTGCTCTACAGACAATGAAGCTGAACATGCCTAAACAAAATATTCATTTGTTTTGTTTTATACCATCATAAGAAATGGGTAGATGTTCTTCAACTGAATGTCCACATGAACATGAAACCTACCAGGGATTCTAGCAAACAATATGCTAATCAATAAGGGTAAACAACACCACCACAAGATCACCCTGCATGCTAGAGTCAGACCAAGTGAATAAAGCCTCTATAGCAACACTTACAGTAATATGTAACCAAGACTTAATAATTCATATGAGCATATTCAAAAGCAAAATTGTCAACAAGAAAACTTAGCTTATGGCAGGAAAGTTTTTGTTTTGTTTTTAAGAATTTAGCACCGGGAAGGGGACTTTAATAGCCTACAGTACTGCATTTTTATTAGTTCATGAAAATATTAACACATTTATCTATTTTATGAAAAGAAACAAATCAAGTTCTAATTACCAGTAAAGTATCACAATAAATAAAAGAAGAAATTTGATTGTATTTTGCTATTCAATAGTTAAATTGAAATTTGGAATTCACAAGAAATTTAGGAAACATCTGAGACTAAAATATGACACAAACTACTCAGTGCTATGAAATTTAAATATTTAGAATATAAAATTAGGTGCAAAAATAAAACAATTATGTCTCACAACAAATATTTAAAAGTAAAGTGATTAAGTTCATGACTATCAAAGCAGTAAAATATTAAAACTTAATTTAGTGCAAAAACATTCCATTACTATATTTAGAGATCACTTCAAAATACTTTAATGTTAGAATAAAAAAGCTGCCATAAATTTCAAAATCTGTGCTTAAAATATTAACTGACTGTAAAAAATTCAGGATAAAGAAATTACATGTATATGTACTTTCAATCTTTCAGTCAAAGGATATAATAGGTTAGAACTTTTTATGCTTTTTATCTTAGTGCTTACATTTTGTTTTATTATCCTTAATATAAAAAAAATACAAAAGGGGAAAATAAGAAGACTTACCCATGCACTTAGCTGTATCAACAACTCTGGCATGTCACTCAGAGCACTAGAAGTACACAGGTTCCAGTATGTTGATGCAGCAAACAACATCAAATCCCGACCTTCAGTTTTGTGACTAAAACCTAGGATGACAAAACAGAGTATGCATTTGAAAGTCAAGTACATTTTGTATGAAAAAAAAAGGATGGCAACTTATTTGTTCCTGTAATTCTCTATTTTTTAACAAAACTAGCAAAATTTATGTTATCAATTTCAATCACTATTATATCATGAAACTTTAAACTACATAAAACAATGAAATCAATCGTTCATTAATGTAAAGTTTCACCCTTGCCAATTCTAAAGAACATACAAGAGATATTCATGTGTTTATGATGAGACACAAATTTTAGAAGTTGATAAGCTATGAAACTAAATATCAATTATGACTGATTACTGAATACTTGACTTTTCATACAAAATAAACACAGAATTGTATCACAGGCTCCAAGCAGTTCAGAAGTTATGCAGTCATTCCAAATGCAACATACCCAGTATGAATTATTTCATCAATAGCATATTTCTGTGGCTAATAAAGGAACTAACATGTACAAAAAGATCATAAATAAAAATGCTATGAATTTATACATCTTTACAAAATGTTACAAGTAAGTTTAAGTAAGTTTAACAGGAAAACAAAAAACTATTTCAAATAACATAACAAAAAGATTAAGTTAGTAATACTTGCATAATAAATCACCATTAAAATAAAAAAGACATTCTACAGGGAAAAGCAACATTTTTCTTGACAAAATTAATAAATTACAAAATAAACGGAAAAATATTAAATATGGAGATATGGAAAATTTATGAATACTGTCATATTCTATGTAAGCGTTTTGTCTCACACTTACATTTAAATAGTTGGTAAAAATAACTTTAAATTGAATTAGGTCGTCACTTTTTTAGATCAAAAAACCTGAACAACTTGTATATCAAAATGAAACATTTATTAAATGAAATAGTCTTCATTATTATCGAT